GTAGACTTGTACTTAGCAACACAGTTCAATTTAGGAATTTCCAGGTAATAATCTTATTGTAATTTAGAAGTCACCATTGAAACAGAAAAACACTAGCAATTCACAATGGTAACATTCCTTGGCCAGAAAGTAAATTCAGCAGCCCCTGTGATTAAAAATTACTCCACTGGGCTCCAGGGATGGATGAAGCTTCCTACATTAGCTTGGTTCACAGGGGCTGGAGAATGTCACTCCAGGATGGAGAGTGTGCATGCCTAGCATGCAGGAGGACCTGGGTTTGCCACCCAGCACCTCCCCAAAACACACACACACACACACACACACACACACACACACATTAAACTAGTTTGGAGAAGACTTTGCAAAAGGAGATTAATAAAGGGGCTAAGGATTTAGCTCAGTGGTTCTGCTGCCTGCCTTGCAGGCACAAGGTCCCGAGTTCGATTCCCGTGCCTCCCCCCCAAAAAAGATTAACATGAGATCACATGGACAGAGGTACATGTAAGAAGAGTCACACTTTTGGATGTTCAAGTTTAATTTCCTTTTTATTTTCCCCCAAACATGCTACAGTTGGATTCACTTGATGGTTAAAAAAAAAAAAAAGGCCAGCCAACTTCCCCTCTCTCCCCCACCCCTATTCCCAACACACACAGATCAGAAAGTCAGACCCACAGTGGACACAGTTATGCTGGCCCCAAACAGTAACCAGCATGAGAACTACACAGCAACCCATGCTGGCTCCCAAACCTGCGGTCCCCTTCCTGGTCTCTCTGCAACCCTTCCCTGGCTGCTGACACCTGGTAGCTCTCCTGCACCATTTAAAAAGCACTCTTAAATAAGCAACAGGCAGAAGTCTAAGAAAGCAAGCCCAAGTAGAATAACAGATGGTCCCAATTTATCATATAGCCTAGGTGTTTGGTCTTTTTTAAATTGACCTTTATAGTCTTTCAATTATTTTACAAAGATCACCCCAGGGCCTCGAGGTATCCTTGGTTTTTTTCTGTAACATCAGATGTCAGCTCTGCATAATACACTCTGCATTTTCTGTATTTATACATGTTTTCTCCCCCACTGTACCCCATCCCTTCCCTACTTCTCTCCTTCATTCCCCTGAAACAGTAGGCTTCATGTAGTTTTGCTTTCAGCAGTTTTACTTACACTGCTGCCCAAAATTATTAATTGGAAAATTCCAGAAGAAAAAAATAAGTTGCAAATAATTTGATTGCTATAACTGTTTTATTATTAATTATAATATTAATGTGCTTAATTTATAAATCAAAATTGGCCATAGGTATATATGTATAGGAAAAAACAGTATTTATAGGCTTTGGTACTCTCGAAGGAGTCAAGCATCCACTAGAGATCATAAAATATATCCCTGGCAGATAAAAAACTATAAGAAAACAAAGTTATGCAGGTTCATTTTTTTATATGAATGTAGATTTTAAAACTAATATTTATTCCATAGGTATATATTATGGTATATAAGATGGACCGTTAGAATAAGTCTTTTAAAAGAAAATATATCAAGAAAAATGAGAAGACACAAGATTTATAATACTGTAAAACTACAGTAGGCTCCCTTAAATACTAACTAAAAAATATCAAAATGTTACCTAATAGTAAAATCATAGGACTTTTTGCTTAAACATTTGTTTTCCAAATTTTGTGTCAACATGCTTTACTTTTATAATCACATCTGCCTGCATACATACCTCTTACTCCTTCTCCTACTATTTCTTTAAGGAGAAGTCAGAGGTAGGAAGGTCCACATGATATGATAAGCTAATCATATTTTTCTTTTTTAAAAAAATTAAGAACCATTGCTTAAAAAGCATAACCTATTTCAGTTATAATGGCCAATTCTGAGTCAGAAGCATGTGTGTTAACTGTATATACATAAAATGCTAAAAGGCAGAGACTGATACTCTGACCTACATCTGAACTCCTTATCTGTGTGCTATTTGAATACAGGCATCTACTGTGGAGAGAATGGGATAGATCACAGGACATTAGCCATCTGTACTGTGAGTGAAAAGTCATGAAGAAGAACAAAGATTCTAAAATTTTAACCTCTCTGAGTCTTATTATCCAACAGTCTCCTGCACATTTCCACTGAGATGACTAACAGCCACTTCAAACTCAGAATGCCCAAATCTAGACTCAACATTCCTCCACAGGTTGGATTTTACTATGAGATCTCTCATCTTACCTATCAGCACCATCCTCCTAGAAACCTGGACATCAACCCCAATGCCCACCAACCCCCCACACTCTAGGAACTCATACGCCAAGCCCCAGGTCTCAGACGCTGGCTCTAGGGGCCATGTCTAAGGTCTAAGGAGTCAGTGTACACTGTGCAAACAACCAGGACTTCTGGACCCAACCCCAGTTTAAACCCACCTGTCACCCACTAAATGTGGCACATCGCACAACACTGTAATTTGTCTGACTCCATTTCCTCACTGTCAACTGCCCCTATCAATAGAACTTGTCTCACGGGACCACAGTTTTAAATCAATGTAATTCACTCAAAAGTGAACACTGAGGGCCTCGTGCTACACACACTCCAGGATCATTGGTGAGTGACAGCCACGCCAGTAGGAAATGCCAAGTCGACAGGCCTGTGCAGCATATGAATTGTCATAATGCAGTGATGCTCAAAGCCACGGGCACCTGGACAAGGGGATGACCCTAGACCACAAGAGGAAAATGGAGATGGTTTTCCAGGAAAACTAACATTTGAACTAAGTCATACAGGATAAATAGGAGATAGAAAAGCAAAGGTTGTAGATATGGATCATATACCAGCAAAGAAAAGCAAATGTGAAATTTGAGGTCCAGAGACACTCAAGTATCTTAAAGGTACTGAAAGCAGTTAAGTTGTCTAGAGGCTGGAATGTGAGTGTGGGAAGTGGCCAGAAATACAGCTGGAAAGGTCAGTGAGAGGGAAGGAGTGAGTGTCCCGAAACCAAAACACTAAACGCAGGGAAATAACCCCAATCAGCATGCATTGTGCTATTCTCTAATATTGTAACTTCTTTCATCTTTACCACTACATAATTTGGATTATGCTGACAGAAATGTATAAACAAATGTTCTTGGGGAAATTAAGGGTATAACTCAATGGTAAAAATTCTTGCCTAGCATGTGCGATGCCTTGGGTTCTATTCTCAGGACTGCAAACAAAGAAAGGGTTTTCTTTCTTTATTCAGCTGCTCTTTTTCTATTAATTATAAACATGTTTTAGTATTTTTAAAAAGGAATTTAAGTATTTTCCCCTCAATTTACTTAGTCAATTAAAGGTGGGTACATAAAAGGAAAAGCCTATTATTCTTCAGCTGAACTCTGAGTGAAAAGGTTAATTTCTGTCATAAACCTCAGAACTCTGCACAAAACTCATCACACTACTGATCACACTCACTTCCCAAATCTAACTGCTGTGGTAAGTAGCATTTACAAGACATCACATCGACCTCATCATTCTGAGGCATGAAGTATGGCAATCTTCCTATCTGACACATATAAGCACCAATGGTTTGGGATGCTCAGAATCACCAGAGCATTATGGGCTGATCACTCTGATGACAACTTGATCCCAGCAGCAAGGAGTATTACAATGCCATTTCTGAATGAAACCTACCCAGTAACTCAAGACTTTGTTGGAATAGCTCATTAACTCCATATGATAACCTATGAACACTGACATTTTTTAAAACTCAAATTAGTAAAATGAATTTAAATCTTTATCATTCCTTCTGGGTTAATAATCATTCACCCAAGAAAACCAATTAACATATTTCTGTCACTTGCAAATGAACACTGACATTTAACTACTTGGACTGTCTTTCCTACTTTTGTAAGAAAGAATTTTTTTGCATGTAGGCCACAATTATATATAGGATGTTATTATGGAAAACAATTCCTATGAAATTGAGCTGAAAGTAAGCATCATCCTTAAATACCACATATTCAAGTCTGATGTGGAAAGCAACCTTCAGAAAGCTAGCAGCATTCGGTTACTATTTTCATGAGTTCTAATGTTATTTTTGCTTAATCAGAGTATTGATAGACAATATGTATTTAATAATACTAACTTCTAGCAGGATGCTTTTGAAAATCACAACTGTTATTGTGCACCATTAACAACCAGAGTCTTGTTGTGTGGAAGGCAAGGTATTTTTTAAAGTACAGATTTAGCTTTCAGAATAAAGAAAGAGAGGGAATACTTGCACAATAAAACAGAAGTTGCTTTATACCATTATGGTTTCACTTGAAGTATTTTAACAAAAGTATTAGTATAGACGCTTCTTGACTTACCATTAGTTTACATTCAAATAAACATCATAAGTTGAAAAGATTATCAGTTGAAAATGCATTTAATACATATAACCTTCCAAACATCATGGCTTAGCAGCACAGCGCACCATAGAGTACCAGGCATTTGCTGCATGAGTAGGAGCTGTGGTTGGCAGCTGCTGCTGAGATGGAGATGGAGGATCACACCGCATTTATCTAGCTCAGGAAAATATCAGAATTCAAAATCTGAAGTGCGGCTTCTACTGAATGCATATTGTTTAAAACTCTTAAGTGGAATCACTGGGGACTGTCCATATTGCCACCCTTCACATTTATCACTTCTAACACAATCTGTAACAATTCTAGGTCTTAGAGGTTCTTCCACCACCTCAGGGCTTGATCCTGCTTCTAATCCATCTCCATTCTCATCTCTTCTCCCCTTGAAAAGACACCTAGAGCCAGCTCAGGCTTTCCCATGACATTCGGCTGGAAGTAAAGTTCTCCAACCCTGGTCCAACCGGATGGTCTCTGGGGCTGAGTTTGCCCTCAGAAGCTCAGGGAGGGGAAGTGTAACCAGGTACTTCAGGGAGAGGGAGCCTGGGAGCGGCGCCTGGGGCTCACACCCCCAGGTGATCTAAATGTAGCTGCCCTACCTTTTCTCTTAGTCTTACTTTCTTTTTACTTGTTTTCATAATTATTAGTCATGTATCCGGTCACTCATGCTGCAAGAATGTGCTATGGAGTGATGCATTTCTCCAGCCCTAACTATCCTCACCAGGTAAGCTTCCAAGATGGAGAAATAGGTGAAGAGATTGTATTACAGATACTAAGTAGCAAGGAAGAGGCAGAGGAATTGTTTCCAACACCCCATGGTACACCTTGTATTAACTGAGAGTGGAGACTGGCCTTTCAGAGAAACAAACACATTGTTGGTCCAGAGGATGAACTCATGTCACCCAGTGAAGGAAGATCATGTTGAGAAGCAAGATCAGTATGAGTTCTGCTTTGAGGCAGGATGAGCAAGAATAGTGACTGCAAGAAGGTTCTGGATGACACAAGACTTGTGCTTCTTTTACCTGTTGGACTGGAGATAACCTGTGAGGCAACAGCTTAGACGGGGGAGTTTAGGCCATGGACATGGAAACACCACCATAAGAGAGACCATGTAGATGAGCTAGAGATGGGAGCCAAAGGAGCCCATAAATCCACAACCAAAAAGTGAGCGGTAAGAGACCCCAGGGCTGGGGCTGGAGATTTGCTCAGTGGCACCGTGCCTGCCTCAAAAGTGCGAGGTCCAGAGTTCGATTCTTGGTACTGCAAAAAGAAAAGCCCAGGGCTTAGGTTTAGGACTCCCATCAGTTTCCTTCCCGTTACCCTCTAGATATATGCTCCTCAGCAAACAACCAAACTGCTTAACTTCAAAACATTAGCATGAATACACCATGAAATCCTGCTTTCTGACCATTAAGCAGAACCTCAATAAAGTACGGTACAAGAGACTTAAAAAAACCTTCAAATGAAAAAAATTAGCTATAAAAAGAAACAGAAGCTGGGCATGCTGGTGCATGTCTGTAATCCTAGAACTCTGGAAGGCTGAGGCAGGAGAATCAAAATTCGACCCCAGCCTGGGCAATTAAGTGACTTAACAAGACCCTCTTTCAAAATAAAAGAACATTTAAAAGGGCTGGAGATGTAGCCTAGTGTGAAGGCCCTGTGTTCAATCCCCAGGAGGAAGAGGGGAAGGGAGGGAGGGAAGGAGGCAGGCAGAGGTTGGACTGAAGGCCTTCTTTGCTGAAAGGCACAGCCCAAGTCCTCCCAAACCCATTTACCAAGGCCCTTTTTCACCTGAGACCTGCCTCCTCCTTTACCAGTCATGGCCACTCCGAAGCAAAACTCCCATACACACCCCCTCCCTGAACCTTTCTTTCAGTTCAGACTGCAACTCGAAAAGGAATTGACAAAGCATGCATCACTGACAAAAACCTCATCTACATGAAAGAGATGGCTAGGCAACACTGTTTCTCTGCAGTGCATCCTTCCTCTATACCTGGTGGCCTACAGGGCCTTCCCTCTCCCATGCTGTGCCCTCAGATATGGTGGTCATCCTCAGGGCACTTCCTAGGCACTAGAGAAACTGAGAACAGCTTTGCTGGGATAAAATCAGGAGACAATTCATAATCAAAATTTTAAAGCAATTAGTATCGCCACTTGTTAGCTCATTAACATTCTGGCTGTATCAATCCCAAAAAGAAAATACCTACCTACCTTTCTTTCCTAAGACTTGTTAATATTTGAATAAACACCTCCAAGGTAGTAAGTTTTTGGCCTGAACATTAAGAGAAGAAAAACATCAGTAGGTCACAGGACTCTCAGGATTCCTGAATCATTCTCATGACATATTAGCCTACACTTAAGATCTTCTTTTAAATTATATCAGTGTTCACTCACAGCTACTGCTCTGAATGCTTCTGTTTGGCCACCTTTGTTCTAGCAGGTAAGCACTATAGTGAGCACAGTATTATCATGATTAGGAGAGCAGCAAAAGTTAACATTATTTACCAAATACTATGATAGGCATTACATGGGTTATGTCACTGGTCTTTGCAACATTTGTCTGGTACCTGGGTTCCTATCATCACTACTTTATAACAGGGAATGCACAGCCAGATCACCTCACTAGGAAGTGGCAGAGCTATGATTTCAGATCCTACAATTTTATAAACACATAGTGTTACAGAGACAGAAACGTAGGTCGCTTGACCCAGTGGAAAAGTTAGTAGGAGTGGCCAAAACTAGAACCCTTTCCTGTCACTCAACACATGATCCAGATCCCAATATGTCACTGGTAACTGGGGACGTTTTAATGCCAAGTCAGAAAGACTGCCCAATCACTGACAGTGGGAGAATTAAAGGATTTGAAGGCAGCTTTATCAGCATCAGACACTTTCTTCCACAGTAATTAGATGTGTGTCCAGCCAGTATTTTCATAAGCAGCTCAGAAGCCCAAAATGAGAAGCAGTCTTAGAAGATACTCTAACAAGCCTAGCAGAAGGCATACTGTTTTCTAACCCATACTGAATGCACACCCCAGATTGAAATATGCTGGGCATATTAAAAAAATAAGATCCCAAATTTGACTCTCAATGTACCTGTCCAATGTTGAAATTTAAAAGTCCTCCTTCCTTGGTCTTGTTCACGTATTTCCCCCTCCTTATTCTCGACACCCTGTGAGTCATGGGCTCAGGCACAGCTGCCTTTGGACCTTCGGGTTCTGCTGCACTCCTGGACAACACTTCCTTGCAGGCAAACACTTCATCAGAAGTGCTCCCAATCAAGCATGAAAATGAATTAGGTTTCAGTTTAACCAGGATTAGATTCACAGCACCAAGAAATGAAGTAACAGTTTTCTAATCTAACAGGCCAGCCCCAGACTTCCTGGCTATTCTGCCCAGGCCCCTGCTATCACTCTGTCTCAGAATTCCTCTCTAGCGACTGTGAAATCCCAGTGTGCAGCAGGAAAGGGCAACTCATAACAGGCACGGGGGTGCTCCTTAATTCTATGCTGCCTGATTTGCTGAGATCATCTGTTCCTTCCACAAGCAGAGTTGTGGGGTGTCGGTCTGTGAAAGGCACTTTGACACTACAATGTACTTATTCTTGGGGACCTGGAGGAGCCTCTTGGACTTGGGCACACATTGGTTTTCCATGAGGAAGGGGACACAGTTCACTCTCAGGCTTCATTTTACACTCACTCTCGTTCCATCTGGAAATACCAAAGACTGACTTTCTCCAGCATGGAGAAAATCAGATATGGACAGAAGAGAAGGGGGTAAAGGGGTAATGCAGAAAAATAAAGAACTTCTATCAATCATGGACAACAAAAAATCTAGACAACCCAATTAACCAATGAGCAAAGGACTTGAATAGCATTTCTTCAAATGTGTAAATATGTCCAATAAGCATGTGAAAAGATCAGCATCACTGATCATTAGGGAAATGCAATAAAAACCACAGTAAGATGACACCTCACACACTCAAAGTAATAAAGATTAAAGAAAAGAATAAGAAAACACATGTTTAAAGAAAAGAAAAAACACATGTTGGCAAGGATGCAGAGAAATAGGAAGCCTGGTATATTACTGCTGAGAATATAAAATGGTACGACCACTATGATGGAAAACAGTGTAGCAATTCCTTAAAAAATTAAACCTAGAATTACCATTATGATCTAGCAGTTCCTCTTCTGGGTATACATACAAAAAAAGGAAAAGCAGAGATTCAAACATATTTTGTACACAAATGTTTACAGCAGCATCATTCACAATAGCCAAAGGATGAAAACAAATGTCTATCAATAAATGAATGGATAAACAAAATGTGATGGACACATGCAATTGAATATTACACAGCCCTGAAAAGGAAGAAAATCAACACATGCTCTAACAATGGACGGACCCATTAAACATGATTCTAAGTGAAAGGCATTAAAAAAGAACAAATACTGTATGATTCTACTTACATGACACCCAGTACAAGCAAATTCAGAGACAAAAAATACAATGCTGCCGCCGTCTGCTGCACAAGTACAAGGACCTGAGTTTGATCCCCGGTACCAAAAAAAAAAATACAATGCTGTTTGTCAGGGGACTTAGTAGGTGTGTTCAACTCATAGCACAGTTGGACATGCCTGTGTTATTATAAAAAATATTTTTAAATACAGGCAGTTTTGTTATTTATACACATTAACTATACTGTGTATTTTATATACAGCCCAAGACAATTCCTTTTCAGTAGATGTGGCCTAGGTTAGGTGTGCCCAACCTGTGGGCTGCAGGCTGGACACACTTGAATGGGTACAGAGTTTCATTTGGAGATGAAAAGGTTCTAGAGATGGACAGTGTTGGTGAATACACCACAACTTTTGTCCTTAATGCCACAGAACTATACAGAAGATAGTTGATCATGTTCATGATGGGGCTATAATTTACACAGCTCACTGCCGGGCAGCTGACTGAATGTGTTAACATTCCCAGTGGCTTAACCATGATGGTGCGCGCTCAGCTGTCTTGTTGGGTGGCACGGGACGGTCCCATCAGGTGGTACAGGCCACCCTGGGGTACAGCTCAGAGGTACACCATTTACCTACCATGGATGAGTATGGCTTTGATCCCAGAACTGAAAAAAATTGGTTGAAACGTTAAATTTTGTTAGTTGTGTTTTACCACCACCACCATCATCATCACACGGGATGAGAAAGTTGACCGAGTCATAACTATCATCAATACACAGCAGCTGAAAAACTGGCCAAAAGCAAGCCTATCTCAATATCCCCAAAATAGAACACAGCTGCTCTTTTGCATTGTTATACCTGCAAGGCTCCAACAATCTTTACCATTAAAAACTCACTGAGATGTTTACCGAAGATGTACCAATAAAAGAATTTAAGAAAAAAAAAAACTCACTGAGAGCAGACAACTCCAATATACCCAAAAACCACTTTGAGCTGAACAATTTTTTTTAACAGTGTAAGTTATAGTAATATCAGATGTAGAGAAGATGACAGTATTTCTCCTCTTAAAATAATTAAAGAATATTGCAAAACATATACTTTAGTGCAAATATCCTGTGATATAAGAACAGAGGAAGTTAAGGCAGAAAGGGGGGAAAAATCCCTGTGAATTAAAAAAAAAATCCATATTGCATGTTTCCCCCTCTCTCTCTGTTGCCTCATTAGGCATGCAAAAGGTTGTACAAGAGACAGCCCCAGTGAAGTTACGCACACAGGCACCATTCTGGCAACATCTGATAGAGGAGCATCTCCTGCCTGAGTCCATGCTTACCAGGCAACTTTCTGATCATCATCTCACTGCCAAGGATCTCTTCAATAGGAAAAAGGCCAGCATTCCAGTCTCCTTGGAGATGGATCTTTTATAAATCAGTATTAAGGTTCACAAAAATAAACACAGTGACTCTCAGTAGTTGAAGGAAATTGGCACAAACACTGGTGGAAAGTAAACCCCGGTTCCCCTAATTCCAAACCCACCTCTATCTACAGACTTCGCCCATCGGTACTGAACCAGCAATGGGACAGGTTATCTTCACATCACTCGGGGCAGTGTCTCTGCCGCTTAGTTTCTCAGATAATTCCTTCTGAGGCAAAAGTGAACTCAGATACTCTGAAGATGTCCAAAAATATGTATGGTTTATTTTTATTTCTAATTATAAAAAATGACATGATTTGAAAGTTTGGGGAAATAATCTGGCTTTAAAGGAGTGAGCAAAAGGGATGCACAGGACCCTGACTGCTCTGCCCTGAGTTCTGAAAGTACTTCAACTAACTGGCTTTGGGACCCAACCTTCCTGGATTTCGGGGGGGCTTTTCGCTAATACTGGCTCTTCCCTGCATCTCCCTCACTCACCCAACCATAAACATATTCATACTGTATATATGAAAATAAAAATGGAAGGCTCTGTTCAAAACTCTCCAGAGAAATCCAGACTCTCTTCTGTTGCTCACGATGGAAATTGTGCCGGGTGATCCAGCCCAAGGTGATCCAGCCCAAGGTGATCCACCCGGAACAGTTTGCTTGGACATCATCTCCTTCCTTCTCTGGCTCAGTGTGCACTCAACCACATCCCTCCTTGCTGTTTTGGAAACACACCAGGCATGCTCCGGACTCTGCACCTTGGCCAATGCTCTTCCCTGTCTGAAATGATTGTCTGAAATGATTATGGTTCTGTACGCCACTTCTTTCAGTTCTCAGGCTCCCACAAAGAGGTCTTCCCTGCTAAAATAAAATCCCTCCTTCCTTCCTTCCCTGCTTATCTGTCCCTGCAGCATAGATCACTGCTAACACACATCTGTCTATATGCACTGTCTGGCGCCCATTAGAATGCAGAGTCCATGGCGAGAGGCTACATCAATTTTGTTTGTTGCCATGCCCCAGACTTAAGATGGAATGAAGAAAGCATACAGTATTTGTTGAATAAATAAATGAATGGGGAAGAGATAGTAAGTTACAGTCATACTGACCAAACTAAATTCCATTAAATGTGTGCTTTATCCAAAATTGAGCAGTACTCACTCTACACCTCTGACACACTGAACAACTGGATTTGAAGTTTGTTGATGCCTTACTCTGTCCCATATTGACTAGATGATGACTGCACAGTGATCAGTTTACTCTGCATTTACCTTCAGAGACCCCATGGTCTCCTCAAGGAGGCAGATACATATTTCGGAAATTGTAGTAAGTGTTCCAAACACAAAACAACTAACCTGGAGAGGCTAGGAGGAGTTAAGGAAGAACAAGGAGAGGTCGCAGTGTGTCCTGTATTCTATAGACATGTTCGTTCGCACAACCCATCAGAAAGCAGGGACAAGCAATTACTCCTACTCTCACCATGCAGCCAATCAGAGAACCCCTTGGCTTTTTGAATTGCAAGGCAATCCCTTTTCATGTTGGCATGCTTCTCCTAACAACTGCTTAAGTATTTCTCACTAATCCAGTTGGGATCAACTGACATGTGCACACACACTGAGGTTTGGTGAACCTGTCCTCCAGTAATAAAACACTACACCCTTGGGTTTAAGATGCACTTCCATCCTGGAACCCACATGCCCCAACATGCACTCCAAGCACTGATCAAAGCTCACGACATGGGATCTGCCAAAAAATATCTCACCAACCAAAGCACAGAGGGCCTTTCATCACACAAACTTCCCAGCCCAGCAGGCTTTTACTGCTTATTTACAAAGGTAACACACACACACACACACACACACACACACACACACACACGCATGTGGCAAGTAGAATTAAAGCTAATTCTGGATTTTTTCTAAATGACTCTCTCAAGGCTTAATATCTTTGGTAAATTTCGAGAATATCTTGAAAGGTTTGCATATATGAAATGCTTTAGAACCTCAGTCACCCTTTATGATAATGCAAATCTTCCCAAAGGTGTCCTCTTTACCCCTCTGTACTAATTTTAGCTGTTTCTAGTCAGCAAGAGAAAAAGGATATTCACTAGAAAGACAGAGAAGCTGTGAGCCTAGTAAATATTTACTGTCTAGAATTTAACTTCTGTTTATCTGTAGAACCCAGAATGTTTGTCTCAAGATTGAAAATACCACTACCAATGTAAATAATTCATGTCCTAACTAATAGCTATCAATTTTCTCAGTCTTTCTTCAGCTTGTCTGGATGAAAAGCAGTGAAGAAATGGCTATAACCTCTTCAAGAGGGGTAAGACAAAGAATTTGTAACCATTTTTAATCCATTCCAGAAACCACAAAATGGCAAACATTGTCTGAAACCCACTCTTAATTTCCAATGCTTGGTAGTAGTTTCTCTTGTTTTATTCTGTATTTTAGTGGTTATTCAGTGGCTTGTAGTAGTTACCATTTTCTAAGCACTTCTCAGATATGACAGGACTGTCCAGAACTCTGAGATTCATTCAGTCATACTCATGTTACAGACACCGAAAATGAGTGTAAAAAGGTGAAAAAATTCACCACCACAAAACAATCTATAAAAGGTGGAGTCACAATTCGCACCCAGGTAGGCTTTCTCTAGGATACCACCATTTTACAGTTTCATTAGTTTGTTATTGCTCTCAATTTTTTTTCTTTTTTTGGTGCCGGGGATTGAACTCAGGTCCTTGCGCTTGCGCAGCAGGCGGTGAAACCACTGAGCTAAATCCCCGGCCCTGCTCTCAATTTTTGATCACATGCTAGGGAGTATTCTGTTTAGTAAGCTTGTTTAATATGATCCATATTGTAATCCCTACGCAATGCACACGTGTGTTTTTGATAAAAATGAAACGGCTATGATTAAAGGGACAGTTACTGCCATCTCCTCCAAGTGGCTGAAGAATTCAAGGCCTTGAATTTCCAGAGCCCTAAAAGCAAGCGTGCTGATAAGGAATGGTGCACTCTTCATCCAGCGAATGCTCCCTTTTACTGCAAAGGACACTGGGTACCACTCTTGTCCCACTGCCTGTGCATCCAGAGGCACCTGAATGACTGTACCACCACATGTGAGGTGCCAGTATGAGAAGAACAAAGTTTTCTCTGACACAGGAACTAGGGCCTGTCCACACCTGCAGGCTGGCCTCTAGGTTCCCAGGACAGGTAGCCAAGCACTATGGGGCTGCAGAGTGCTGAGGCCGATGAGAAAAGCCAGAGACCAACGAAGCTGGCAGCCGAGGCTGTGAGGCAAGAGTGCGCCAGGTCTGGAGGCGGCATATTCCGAATATCACACTGAGTCCCCCAGTCAAACAAAGCAGATCCAAGTACAGAAATGGTTGCTGTAGGACCGGGAATTTAGCTCAGTGGTTCTGCCATCTGCCTCACAAGCACAAGGACCAGTTCAATCCCTGGTACCAAAAACAAAATAAAAAAACAAAAGACAGAAATGGTCACTGTGGCTGGAAGCAGGTGGAAGTCAAAGTGGCAAGAAAAAGGAGGGATGTGATGTGAGAAAGAGGAAGTTAGGCAAAGACTGGCAGGCAATTCGGACCCTGCACCAATGTCAAGTCCACATTATTAAGAGAATTAGTAGCTCATCCTCCCCCTCCATGGAACTCAGCTGCCATTCTAGGAAGACACCTGAGCAGCTACATACAAGGCCTTTGTCGAAGAGAATGAGCTTATTCAGTTTACAGGAAACCCCACCGAGCTTCCCAGCTATGTGCTTAAACCATCTTGGAAGTGGACAAGCCTTCTTCCCCACAAAGCTCTGCCCAAACTGTAAAATCATGAGCAAATAAGATCATTAAATTCTGAATTTGTTACACAGCCATAGACAGGCAGGGCACACAACAAACCTCAAATCAAGCACTTAACATCAATTCTTGAAATTCTCCCAAGAGGGAAAGAAGTTGGGTATGGTGGTTCATGCCTGTAATCCAGCACTCTGGAAGGTTGAGGCTGCGGGGCTGCAAGTTCAATTCCAGCCTGGGCAACTTAGCAAGACCCTGTCTCAAAATTATAGGTTTAAAAAAAAGAATATATATATATATATGGCTGGGGATGTAGTTCAGGTCAAAGGCCTTGAGTCCAAAAGACAGACAGATATACAGACAGAGAAGGAGGAGGAACAAAGAAAAGAAAGAGGAGAGAGGGAGGAGGGAAGAAAAGGGCAAGGTGTTCATTCATTCACTCAAAAAAGCCATAGGACATCTACTATGTCCCACATTCCACACAAGGTCTTGATGCTGCTCTTCAGTGCTCATGGTCTATAGCTAAGGCAGACATTAAATACCTTATTACAATGTGTAACTGTAAATAGAGTAGTATAAAGGAGCTGAGAATATTAGGTGATCTTATAGGCCACTTCCAACTCTGATAGTGCATCTTAAATCAATTTGTGATGAAAAATATATCTGTGAGATGGCCACTTAGAGGTGGTCATGCTAGGTTCAACTCCAGTCCCATTTTTTTTTTTAATTCTTTTATTGGTACAGGTATACAATACGTTTACATTTATCACTGGATGCTTGTACCTGTACATGATGTATCTTGGTTCTTATTTTTCCCCCATTACCTATGCATCCTTCACCCCCTCCACCCTTCCCTATTTACATAGATTTTGTTTCCATTTTTTTTTCTTTCTCATAATTTTTCCTTTCCCTTCTTCCCTTTCCCCTTCCCCTCCCACCATCCCTACACCTTTAGACCTTTTCCTATTTCAAATTATCAATTATTCATTTTAATCATTTTAATCCTTATTTACACTTTCAGCTTCTCACACTAGAGAAACTATTTGGTATTTACACATGTGTGTCCTATTTATTTCACTTAAGAGTATCGCCTTGATATGCATCCATTTAGCTATAAATGACTCTAGTTTTTCATTCTTTATGGCTGAGTAGTACTTCATTTTATAAAAAAAAACCCCACATCTTCTCTATCCAGTTTCCAGCTGATGGGCACTTGGACTTCCAGTCCCAGTTTTTTTAAAAAAGCCAATCCATGCTTCTCATATCTATGGAGAGCAACGTTTTTCTATACAAGTCTGTTTCTTAATTAAAGCATCAGTAAAGAGGTATAGTGTCAGGTGTTTTTCAACAAGTAAATGTTTAAAGCATGGCAAGTTGCTTCTATTCGGAAGTGGAACAATCTCACAAAAGAGGCTCTGCATAAATAAAGAGAAAAGAAAAATATGATTTCCAGGGGCAGTGTTTCAAAGTAAGTAATGATGGAGATTTTTGTCTGTTTATTGTTTAAATAATGTTTAAAGGGCAAAGAATGTAAGTTGATTGCTTGAGACAAATTCTTTGAAAAATAATTTTTTTCAAAATCTCCAGAGATTTTAATGATTGCTAGAAAGGAAAAACTTCAAAGATACACTTCTATTTTCCTACATAAATAGCTGTCTACCAGAAAGCAGATCAAATAGACAGCTATTCCATAAAGAAGGGTGAATTCAGGTTTCCCCAAACTCTGCTGCACCTCATGACAGCTTCTTTCCAAAATCTGAATTGGTCTAAGAGCCAAGAGATGTAACTATTGACAGAAAAACAGTTAAACATACCCAACTCACAAGTTAGACAAACTGAACTAACCAGAACTTTCTCTTGACAAGCTTTGGGAAAACCTAATTTAATGCTACTGAAAGTGAGGCCATTTTGTCTCTTAATCATGGTAGGAAGGAGGTTGAAAGTTAAATGTTTAATTTTCTAATTACTTTTAAAAATTTGTCTGATGTTAAAAGTCCTTCCTTAACCTCACAGTAAATAAAACAAAACAAAAGTCCTTCAATCTTTGATAGGAAAAGCTAGTAGCTAAGAAAAAAGAATAGCAGCCAAGAGTGGCAGCCCCGCCTGTAACCCAGCCCTCTGGGAATCTAAGGCAGGAGGATCCCAAGTTCAAGCCCAGCCTGGGCAACACACCGAGAACCTGCTTCAAAATAAAAAAATTTAAAAGGGGACTGGGGATGTAGCTCAGTGTGAAGATCTCTGGTTCAAATCCCAATACTACAAAAAAAAAAACCAAAAAAAAACCAATCCATGGTTCTCAAATTTGCCTTCTGCATTTCATTGTTACTGTTGCTTTGTGGGAGTTTAGACCTGACAGAAGCACTTTGGGCATAAACACAAATGTGTTAGAATGTTCATAAAGAGGCAATTTTACTCTTTATCATCAACTCATAGGATCTTAAATGGTTATCATTCAAACTAAAGATACAAAAGGAACACATTCATGAATTGCCTGTTAATCCATCTTAAAATTCTCCACTTGTAAAACACCTCGAGCCCAACACTCAGCTCTGGGTGCTCCAGTCCTCCCATGCTCTGGTATCTACACATTCCTGGAGCACCCTAGGGAGAGACCAACATCTCCTCTGGCAGACAAAGCTGCTCTCACTAACTGGGTCAGCAGGTCACAGCTAGAAATCGATCAAAGTCCCTCCCTCTCCTTCAAGATATTATGGAAAATTAGTCATTGGCTCCTATGGCCAGAGGGGAGTCCTGTAGAAGGGGTAAGTTCACAAGTCAACATCCTGGATGATGCCCAGGATAACAGGAGTTCTTCCAGACTTCTTCCTGCCCCTAAAATGCCTGGTAGACATCAGGGATCTGACCCCACGGGTGACCTCCAGACAGCCTCCTGGGCAGTAAGGGACATGGCACTACAGAGGGCCCTGAAAGTTTTTATTAGCTCTGCTTCTAGGTGAGAAGAAGCCAACCATCAAAAGAGGATGAAAAAGGAAAAAAAGTGGCAACTTTGCCCTACAAGACATTAAAGAAAAAAGTGTTTAAAAGAAAAAATTACAGTGAAAAAAAAATACTCTATGCCAAAAAACTAACGTGAGAAATACAAATGAATTATATTTACATCTATGGGTACCGAAAACTATGGATATTATGAATAGGGTAAATGGTAAAACTACTGCCTATGCTAAATTGAACTGAGATTTAGGATCCACAGGTAGGAACCACACACACTGTTTCACAAATACCTCAGTTTAAAATGTTCTTGGGCTGGGAATTTAGCTCAGTGGCATAGCACCTGCCTGGCAAGCTCGAGGTCCTGAGTTCGAACTTTGGTACCAAAAAAAAAATGTTCTTAAAGAGTAAAAAGTAACTAAAGACTTGCAAATATTCAACCTTCAGGAACACTGCGCGGAAGATGGACAGAAAATGAATGAGCAGACGTGGAGGACAAGGAAAAGAATTTGGTAAAGGATATGGTTGGGGCATAAACTTGTTTGTTTCCTTAGGAACAACACCATGTCCTACAAGATTCAAATATTTTTCTAACCAATGCAGGGGCAGCAAAGCACCCTCAACTCTTTCCTTTGGCCACAGCACCGGGATTACTTAGTATAACTTGACAAAGCACAGAGAGCTTTCCCTCACTCCTCAGCACCACAGATCTCTGGGCTCCTGAATGCACCCAGAGGGGCCAATGTCAATTCACAGTGCATTTTCTCCACACAACACTGGGGCCACCCATGCCGGTCCAGTCCACAGTCTGAGATTTACTGTTACGCAAAGGTTACTGAACAGCACCCTTTAGGGGACAGCAGAGTTGCTGCGGTGAGGCTGTCAATGGAAAAGGCCTGTGAAAGAGTCTACTACTCTAGCAGTAGTTTTCATTTTTAAATGACCTTATATCAGTCAAATGCTTCTCCTGCCTTAATAGTGTTACAGTAGTTATAAAGCAGGACTCTGGATTCCAGTTAAGATTTGACTTTTCCCTGAATATAAAATTGGTAGTAATCATGTAGTTGCTCGTGCCTCCTCTCTTTCATTTTTAAATTACGTTATCTCCCTCTCTCTCAGCGTTTTACATAACAGGGGAGAGCCACAGGGGTTAGGAAATACCTCTGTCTCATTCAGCAAGCACTTCAAAACGTTATTCTAAACCGACAGCACAGGAGCATAATACTTAGAGCAACAGGCAGGGGCCGTGGCATTCCTAGTTGCAGAAAAGTCACTGGGGGTTCCACACCCACCCACCCCCAGCCAAGGCTCCCGCTTTTCCTTTCCCTTCACCGCTGGTAATCTCACCACTGACTGCCTCCGGCTGCTTTTACGTTGCTCTCCTTTTCTGCCCTCTCCTCTGGTCAGCTGTGCTCCTGAAGCACAAACTAGCCAAGCTACTTGGGCGCCTATAAAGGGCTCAGTGTTGTGCTAGGGAGGAACCACGTTCACCAAGCCTCCAGCTGTAGACCCTGAATACTGGACCCACTCTAGAATATCCAGTTCCGTAGGTTTCCCATCACCTTTTCAGATTTTCAAAGCTTTGGGGGGATGTGCCCCAGGCACTCCTGAAGTCATCAAAAAAGGTGGCGTGGAGCATCCCACCGCTCACATATTTGCATACTATTTGATGTGGCTTTAATTTCAAAGCCGGTTTCAAACTTTCAAGTAGATATGGTACAGAGGGAGCCCTGGAATTGCAAATGCGCTCGCCTCAAAGGCTCAGGAGTCCAGACCCAGGCAGGAAATAAAAGTTCTAAGCGGCTTTGATGTACAGTACTTCCTCCCTTCTCCCCTCCCCAGGGCAGGTCATTCATCTCCGCCCAGGGAGAGACCACCTGGCCCGAACCCGGCTCAACGCACCACACGTGGACTGCAAGGGGGAGAGTCAATAACCCAATGCTTCCCCGCCCCCAGCCCGGCCACACTAGTCACCAGCGGCTTTCAGCTCGGCTGGGATCTCCGCGTTTCCCGACTATTAAAAGGAATGCTGCACACAGGCAGGGGAAAGCGGGTGTAAAGGGACAGGAGATCCAAACAGTGGAGGAGAAAACG